AGTGCGTGCGGGGGGGGGGGGGGGTTGTGGGGGGGGGGGGGGGGGCTGGGATCGGTGGGGAGGATGGGTCGTACCATTGCTGAACTCCGATTAGGGGTCGTGCTGCATTGCATGTGCTTTTGCATGGCCACCGCTGGAACACGGCTCATGCTCGTTGGTATCTACACCTGCAAGGAACGACGGACTGGTCTGAAATGGGCACACGAATATACACAGGCTCACAAACACATGCTCACTTCCTCACACTAACGCCATGTTGTGTGCTTGTGTGTTCCAGTTCCATGAAGGTACATCCAATGCATGAAACCGGCATCTAAAAAGAACTTTTTATGTGCCCTTTCGTTCATTGGTTTATCCAAAATATATGAATATGGACAGGTAGGGGGAGCTCTATAGCAGTAGCCTTTTGTGATATATTTGTGACATTTGTGTCCTCAGCCTTTGCTAGCTGATTCAAGGTCAGTTGATAGCACTTCCCAAAAACTATAAGCACACTTTATAATGTAGAAATTTTAATTAGATGCAGAATATCAGATCAAGTGGCAGTCCCAAAAAAATACATGCTTATGTGAGTGATATTTATGCCTGATCTGAGATCAGTTTTCACAGGCAGAGGAACACTGATGACGATGAAGTGATGACTTTATCCCATGTGATACTGCTCCACTTATCTGTGAGGGCTCCAATTAAGTCACTTAATTGATGTGTATGTACTGTATATGTTCTATGATATGTGTGAATGGTTCGTTCACACATTACAAGGCTGCAGATTGTTGGTCAATTATTTGTCAGTCTAAGAAAACTGCTCTCACAGATGCCAACTTAGTCTTCCCAGATCCCTTTTTGTGTGGTTGTATGAGTATCACCAACAAAAATGGTGGATATTTGTACACAACCACTGCATCAAAAGAAACTACTGTCAAAACTACAATCAAATGGGTGAGAAAAACTTAATCTCCTGCAATTTGTGTGGCCAGTGATTTATTCTTTGGCTACAAACTGCTGAGCTCCCCAAGCCTTTTATTAGTTTACCAAAACATCTGATTGGAGGTTTAACTTACACAGCCCTGCCCTCATCCCCTCTGATTGGCTCTTCACAGAGACTGCTACGCATGGACCTACCTGTTGCAGATGACAACACGGTGCATTTCAACTCCACTTTGATGGCTTTGATACGCACAGCTCTGGACATCAAAATCGCTAAGGGTACAGAACGACATCCCTTTTTCGTTTTCCTTACTTCTTTTCTATCTTTTATTTGACTAAAAATATAAACTAAACATAAGTCCATACGTATCATAAAAACAGATATTTTTCTTTCTTTTTTGATTTTATTTCTTTTAAATTTTTTGTTGAAAATTTGAGTCAAATATATCAAAAAAAGTTCCCATTTCTTTCTTTGTTTGGTTTTGTTTCTTTCTTTTTTATTTTATTTTAAACTTTTTTTTTTATATTTTTTTTTTACATTTGATATATAAAAACTATCTAAAAAAATTATTTTCTTTCTTTGTTTCTTTCTGCATATGAAAAATGTAAAAATATGTCTGTGTGTCTCTCTTGTATCTTCTGAATGAATGTGATTTTTAATATTGCGCTGATGCTTTTGGTGTATTGGCATATTTTGCTTGTCTGTACATATGTGCATGTGTATGTGTGTGTATGTCCCCTGCCCTGACATCATACGCTTACAGGAGGCGCAGACAAACACCAGATGGATGCCGAGCTCCGTAAGGAAATGATGTCGATTTGGCCAAATCTCTCCCAGAAGAACCTGGATCTGCTGGTAACACCACACAAGTGTAAGTTGCAGATGGGTTTGTAGAAAAAACAAAACAAAGATCACCAATTCATCAGAGGACAGCTTCTCTCAGCCCACACCGCTCAGCACCCTCTGATCAGGCAACACTTTCACTTTAACTAACCCTTATCCTGTCCCCACATGACAAATCAACATCTTACACTGTTAATTAGCTCAGTAATACCATGCTTTACCATATTAATGCTATTTAAAAATCATTGTCTCACAACGATATGATTTATTGCTTATTGTCATTCCACAACGATATGATTTATTGCTTATTGTCATTCCACAACTATATGATTTATTGTCATTCCACTTCTAAAATACATACCCTCCCTTCCTCAACCTCTTTCCTTTTTCCCCTCTTTCTTTGTTCTCTCCTCTTCATTGCCTGTTATCAGGGGGTGCCTCGCTATAGACGGATCCTCTATAGAAGTCTTTTCACTCCAGCACGTGTAAAGCACAAAGCTGGGCTTAACCTCCAGACCACAGAGCCTCAAATACAGTGTAGCCCGAGATATGACCTCATGTTTACAGATGTTAGAGACTTTACATTTTAATATGATGACCAGAATGTATTTAAATCTGTATATTTTCTATGAAAAATACTTTTGTGTGCTTTCCTTTAGCATGTTTTCTTTTTAATTTTGAAATTGCAGCATGCTTTAGAATTATTTCTAAGGTTTACTGTCAATCCCTGGGGCTTTCATGCCATTTTACTATGAAATTGTACTAACAAGAAAGTGTTTAATGTGAAGATATATCTTTGTCATTTATTGCAGCTCAAAATTTTTCAAATGTATATGTTATGTGTCTCATTCAAACTCTGGATGCCGCTGCAGAGTTTTAATGAAAAATTTGAGCTCCTCACAAAACAGTGTAATCCTAGCATTCTGTAATTGTTGCCTCATTCATGGCATATATTCATAGTGAAATGGCTCTTGAGTCCCTGTAGGAATGTAATACAGGCTAGAAATGTGAAGCTATTAAAGGTCCTTGAGAAAAATGAGAGGTTCTTTATAGTGGTCGACCGATATTGTTTTTTTGACAGCCAATACCGATATCTTGGAAAGCAGGGTGGCCGATATAAAGCCAATAGAATTGTATTTATTTTAATTCATATTTAAGAAACTTGTAATCATTTGAAAATTTATAAAAAAAAAATAAATATGTTCAATAAACATACTTATACATTAGATGACAAAGTATTTTTCATAAATAAATAAATATTTAATAAAAATATATTTAAAAAGGAAGTAAACACTGTAACCAACAGGGCACTAAGTAATCTGAGAAGTTTGTGTGCATTGGGAATCATATTTTTTCAAATAAAGCCAAGGTAACACTCATTTTACATACAGCACACAGTGAAAATGACATGAATATGACAGTGGGCAAATGCATAAAGCGCAGCATAATTTAAAATCACGAGTTTAAAGTTTGTCGATTGCGCGTCTCAATGAAGCTGAACTCTCCTCCTGTCCGCATTCAGTTCGCACGGTCGGATCGACTGTCACCCAGAGAACACGCGATCATGCAGGATACACATGCACACTTCACAAGATCTCACAACTGGATCCGACTAAGTTTGCAAGCTTTGTGAAATTAAATGTTCAGTAGTCACTCAAAGATTTGTTTAAATGATATAAATGTGTATTTGCTGAATGCTGACGGTAAACAAAAAAGTATTATAATGTTTGCCTTTCTATTACTAATAATATAAAAGCAATCGTTATAAGACTTTTTGTATACATTTTAATTCCTTTGTTTAAACGTTCTATCTGATTATTAGACAGACTTCTATCCGTATTTAGACAGAACTGTTAACGACAACAGCGAACCAGAGGGAGAATGTGAGCACTGTGTGCTCAGGCGCTGCCGTTCTCAGCCTCGAACGCATCGGCCAAACAAAAAAACTTATCGGCTGATGCCGATATTTAAAAAAATTCCAAATATCAACCGATATATCGGCCTTGGTGATATATCAGTCGACCACTAGTTCTTTAATTAATGAGGATCTGACTGTGAAAAGACTATCAGCTCTGTGGTGTTTTGTATTTGTCGATGTACTTTGTCTAGTGTCTATTGTGTAAAATGTGTATTGTGTGTATCTATGTATATACAGTTGCACCAGAAAGTATTTGGGCACTTAAGCCATACTAAAATGTTTTGAATGTTATCGCATTTGGTAGCAGCACACCAGGGGACATTTATTTTAAGGAAGCAAAATATTTTTCAACAAGTTAACAAAAATTGGTTAAATGTCACTGCAAATACGCCTAAGCGAAGTAAAATTCATGTGGTAATTTGTTGTCTATGCAATGACATTCATACTTGTTTAACTATGACTTAAGTGTCTAAATCTAAATATTGGGGCAGCTGTATTTGTGAAATTTGTCTTGTAATTTGTTGTTTATCTGTTGTCTAGTTTCTAAGTCCCAGATTAAGACTCATTCTGGCCTATGAAGAACTTCTGTTGGTTCATTCCCATTGAGGTTTCTTGTGAGGTCATGACTGAGTTTTGTCTGGGTCTGAGAGACTAGACCTTTGTGATTGTGGCATGTCTTGTCTCCAACTCCCATTCCCCTCTCGGCTCAGGGTCCCATTCCACCCCGGTCTAATTGTGCAGGTTAACTTTTTCATCCTCTCAGCAGCAACAGACCTGACAGTGGGCAAGATCTACGCCGCCATGATGATCATGGAGTACTACCGGCAGAGCAAGGCCAAAAAGCTGCAGGTGCTTCGTGAGGAGCAGGTACCACTTCAGACAAACAAACAAATGCCAAGTCTGCTCTCTAGCTTTGCTAATCAACACTGGTAACACCACATTTTATTGATTCGTGCCTGTCCACATGGCTATTCTAAATTTGTTAACTTCACATTTATTGGCTATGTCTGAAATGTATTTATAAATATTAACCTAAGATTCAAGTTATAATTTCTAGAAGTAATCATTGCCTTTTTTATACTCATTCTGAAAACTTTATTCACATATTGGTGCTTTTATACAGTATTTGTTATGAGATATCCCAAAATATGCATTCAGATACATGGTTGAAAACCAGACTCTACATATAGGCTATAGGCAGTTAGTCATGCAGCTGACTGTAGTTTCAGACACAGCCAATGTCTCTTTCACTCTATTTTAAGATGAAATTATCCCTTGTTAGATATGTACACTGCCATTAAAAAGTCTGGGGTCGGTAAAATTTTTGTCTGTTATTTCTCTTATGCCCACAAAGGCTGCTTTTATTGAAAATGCAGTTAAACAGTAGTATTGTGAAATATTATTACATCTGTTTATATTTTAAAATGCAATTCATTCATGTGATGCTAAAGCTGAATTTTCTGCAGCCATTATTCCAGTTTTGGGTGTCACATGATCCTTCAGAAATCAATATAATATTCTGATTTGGTGCTCGAAAAACATTTCTTATTATCAATGTTGAAAACAGTTTTGCTGCTTAATATTTTTGTGGAAACTGTGATACATCTTTTTAGGATAATTTGATGAATAAAAAGTTCAAAAGAAGAGTATTTATTTGAAATAGAAATCTTTTGTAGCATTTTAAATGTCTTTGCTGTTGACTGTCACTTTCGATCAATATAATGTATTCTTGCTGAATAACAATAGAATTATTTTTTTTATCTTATCGGTCCCAAACTTTCGAACAGTAGTGTATGTCACTTCCCACATGGAGCACTATGATTTAAAAGATGTACGTGCAAACCTTTAGATATTTTAGTGCTTTTATGGCATGGAAACAAAAACACTGATTATATACAAGTTCATTTCACATTTTATTTACAGAGATAGAGCATGCTTAAAAACACACACAGTAGTTTTGCTGAGTATATGCAATGATGAATGATACAACATGGCCTTTTGTCAGTGTCACTCCTGTCCCCTTCCCTAGAAACGTTCCCATCCTGTACAGGCACAGTGTCCATAGTTTCTGCCTGCATTTTCAATTTATTAATACTTGGAGCCTACCACAAAGAGCGTGGACACTCTGCCGGCATCAGGGAATGGTCTAAATATATGTTTGTGTCTTGCCTCCCTGTCTGTCTCTTTACCTGTCGTACTTCACTTGACTGCATCTGTACCTCAGCACCGTCCTCTCAACATCAGCTTCACTTTTGTGGCTGTCTCACTCTCTATAACCATCTCTGATGTCTGTATATCTATGTCTGTGTCAACTTGTTTGCATTTTAACTAATTATTTTTGATCTTTCCTCCTTGTTTCCATTCTTTTTGGCATATTGGATCCACTGCCAACCTCTTGTTCTTTTTTGTTGTGTGTAATTTTCTCTGTTTTGTCTTGTCTTCCTTCATTTGTTGATTGGTGAGGTTGTCACTAACATGGAATCTTTTCTCCCTCCGTGTGGACACCGTTTGTCTAGCCAAATATGTTCATTAATGGATGTTGAGGGGAGGTTCTTGGTGTAAACTTTGGGCTACAACGGTCTCTGAGATTTCTAGTGTTCATAGTTTAAGTTTCACCCACCCAGAACATGTAGTTCTGCAAGTATGAACCTCAGATCTTTACTGTAGCACGCCCAAATTGTTACAACCACCCATATCTTCTGGTGGGTTGGATGGAAATGTCTTGAGCCATCGGCACCTACCTAGACAGCTCAGCCCCAATGGAGGACTCCATTCAGGTTGGCGAGGGCACAGGAGAACTCCATTTCCCATGATGCCCTCTGGGGAACCTCTGCTGTCTGGTACCCCACCACCTGTGGAATGCACGGTGGTTTGTGTGTGTTACCCCATATCCCATGAGTGTGTCTGATCCCAGCTGCAGGCCATGTTCGTATCTCACACAGAACCGAACGCCATTAATGTTTCAGCGCATGGAGCCATCCCCGAGCCAGGAAGGTGGACAGGGGCTGAACGGTCTCCCCGAGTTGCCGCAGGAACCTGTCAACAGCCTGTGAGTAGCATCCTGAATAGTCTTTATATGCAAGTCATGTGAATGAAAAATACTTGTAAGGTATTTATTAATCTGAGTTCGTATTCATTGCAGCATTTACTAATACATTATTAAAATCCAAAATTGTATCTGTTAATATTAATTAATGGACCAGAGCTAACATGAGCTAACGATGAACAGTTGTACTTTTATTAATTAACATGAACAAAGATTAATAAATACTGTAACAAATGTGTGGCTAATCGTTAGTTAGCATTAGTTACTGCATTAATTAATGTTGACTAATGAACCTTATTGCAAAGTGTTACCGCTTTAAGTTAAATCTTTCTGAGTGAGTCTCATGAAATCATATCCAGGTCCATATTTCTTCCCAAAAGCTAAATGAAATAATAAAATGTTGTTTATTGCATTAATAAAATGAATTAATTTTAAAAAGAATTGTATAAAATAAACAATTGTATTGCAGTAAGGAAAAATTCTGAAATACAAATATTTTTGTTAAGAAAAATTTTAATAAAAGATTATTTTGTGTAATACAAAATTCTAAATTCAACAAAAGCGTACATTATAGACAGCATAACAAATACTGCCAGGAAGTACTGTATAAACATTCTACAATTTAAATAAGATATTTATTTTCTCTATCTCTCTCTCTATATATATATATGTGTGTGTGTATATATATATATATATATATATATATATATATATATATACACACATATGTACAGTATTTCTCATATATTATGTATGTATTTTTCAGAGTAATGAAAATCTGTCATTAAATGTGGTTAATTGGTATGAAAATAATGTCAGTTTCAAAATTGTTAATTGTACAAATTAAACATTCATTTCTTATTTTCTTATTTTTCTTTTTAATTTTGGAGTAAAGTATTACCTGAACCTGAGAGGTTTTATGAGATTCACCTGTTTCAACTGGTGCTCTTTGTCTTCTCTTTCACTGCTTAGCTTTGTCTTTGTCTTTAAATTGTCTTTCTTCTTCTCCTTATAGGCCGCACTTCTGCTCTTTCTTTGTTTTCCCATCTCTCAGCTGTCGCTCTACTCACATTGTGTTTCGATTCTTCGATATACGTCTATCTGCTTTTGTGTTAATTCTGCTGTTTATACATATATACATTTGTAATAGTTATTTTCTGTACTATTTTTGTCTGCAAAAGGCATTTTGTAGGTACAAAACTGCTTTTATGTAAGTGCATGTGTGAGTGAGTAAATGAATTAACCAGCCAACATCTTTCTCTGGTTCAGGCCTCCGGAGGGTGGAATGAGTGAGAGCCAGTCGTGGGCGACGTCACGAGCCCAGGAAAAGCTCCAGAAGTCTGTTCCAGAAAACTGGAACCCTGACAGACCGTATCCTGATGACCATCACGACATCCGTCACAATCCACAGGTAATAGCGGAGGTCCTCAGTACAGAAAGGCAATTTTGTCTTGTTTAGATCTGAATTTAAATTTGGCGTGACTATATCAGCTTCTCTCAGCCTTTGGTAATGAACTGTGTGCTGGTTAGCCAATCACTGTCTTCCCAGCCATCGTCCCTTTTTCGCTGCTTTTGGACACACTTCTCATTCATATTATCACTCGTTCTATCTCTTCTGTCTCTGTCGGTCTGTAGCTCACTTCTTTATCTGTCTGATGAATTATTCTGATGAACTTCACTGCCCATTGTAGACCGTTTGTTTAGACCCTTCCATCACTGCCAGACTGCGGGGGTGTTTCACTGCTTGCCTGCTTCCTCACTGTCTGCTGGATTTTACCAAACCCCCTCCAGACTCTCATCTCTCCTTCAGTGTGGCTCTTCTCTGTAGCTCAGCAGTCATCCGACCCTGATGTTTCCCTGTACTAGTCACTCATCCTAATACTATGAAGCAAAGGAGATGCTGAATAAACAGATTTAGGCATAATGAGCATGTTGGAAAGTACTTAAACCTGTAGTAGGCAATTAGACAGGGTCAGTGTGCACCTAGTCTCAACCTACAAGAGATCTGTAAACAAGAGCTGTGACCTGATCCGATCCAACCAATACTGTGTGTTCTACTTCCTCTCTTCCCTTTGGATGTGTATGCAAATCATTTATGCTAAATTTTTAATAGTAAGTCTTCCATTATTTACAAAGCCAAAACGTAAAAGTACACATAGAAATTGCATAATTGAAAGATTTTCAGATTTTTTTGTAGGAGTTGAATCATATTTAATTTGGGATTTTGGATTAGTAAAGAAAAAGATCTAATATATATAAAACAGAATAACAGCTTTTTTATTTGATTTATTTATTTACTTTTACAAACATATAACAAGTAAACACACTTGAATTTGAAGTAGCTTGAAACCTGAAACAACTCAATCTCTTTTTATCTCCTCTCAACAATTTGGATATGTATGCAAAATAAGTTATGGTAAAACATTTGTGTTATTAATTTGTAATATGAATCTTAATATTTACTTTATTTGACCTTTTTATAGACCAAACCTGAAATCAGTGAATCTTTTTTTATTTGCTGTCATCACTTTGGATATGTATGCAAAATAGGTTGTTAAATTAATTAAATTATTTAAATTTTTATATGAACCAGAACAAGAAGTTTTATTTTATTTTATTTTATTTTATTTTTACAACCATATCACAAGAAAACAAACCTGAATTTGAAGTAGCTTAAATATGGCTTCTACATTTTATTTGGGATGATTAGTAGTAAATGTAATGTAAATGTTCAGATTTACTCGTCTTTAAACATTATATACAAAAAGCAAACATTGGCTTGTTTATTTTATTTTATATACTCTATATATCAGTTAGACAACCCCTTCCTGTCTTCTCTCGTTTCTTGGCCAGAATAAGCTGTGATGTGGGCTGATAGTCAGAGACTAGTGTGCACCTGTTCTTTTATTCCACTCTGTTAGTGATATGCATCATTTGGAATGGCTAATGACTAGCTCTAGTTAATCTAGTCTTCAGTTCAACTGTACTTTTGCGCAAAACATTGCCCTCTACTGGTTTATCACACCCAATAGAGCTGTAGGCCGGTGAAGCAGGCATCAGCCTGGCCCACATGCTGTTGCTCTGTTTTGCAGACGGTAGAAATGAGAGAGATTGGGCCTGTTGGGGACGGTTACTCGGACACTGAGCCCTGTCACCCAATGGAAGGGCATGGGCGGACCATCTCCATGCCACGCCTCTCAGCAGACAACCAAGTGAGCACCTTCATCCTTTCATCCATCCATTCACCCATTTGGTCTTTCCACCTTTTATCTGTTATCCATTCCCAATATCCGTCCTCTGTCAGTTATCCAGCTAACAGCCTTTGACAGCTTCAGTTGGGGGAGCCAAACTTCAAAAGTTTGGTGTGTTGTCATGCTAACAAGCCAATAAATGCTAGCATGTCTTTGTCAAAAGTCAAAGGGCATATGGATAAGTGGCTCCCACCCTGACCTTCACTTACATGCATGGCTGTGTGAGTGTGAGAGAGAGAGAGAGAGAGAGAGAGAGAGAGAGAGAGCGAGAGAGAGAGAGAGAGTTGGTTCTGTGCATCATCATAACACCCTAGCTCAATTTCAAGAAAACCTTGGTGTGTCTGGCGTGTCCTGCTGCCAGAGCTGGATTTGAGGTAGTGACAGAAGTAACAGAAAACAGCCTGTGCATAATTACAAAATGTATAGTTCCAGCCCTAACTAATTAGATAAAGCATGTTTGTATGGAATTATCAACTATTTGATTGTATAAATATTTAATTAAAGTTTTACAGCATAACTAATTGTAACATTAAAATTAATTAATAAATCACATTTCTAATTGAAAAATAAAGACAAAGATTACTGTTCAGAAGTTTTGAGTTTGTTTTTGATAGATGTCTCATGCTAGCTGAGGCTGCATTTATGTGATCAAAAGCAGGCACGTGCACAGGTAGGGCTCAACCTGTGCAGAGCACATGCCCTTTCTGTCCTTACACTCCGAAGTGCCCTGTTTTGTTTAGATTTTTTTTGTTTGTTTGTTCTTCTTCAATAAATCAATGCTACAACATAATTTAAGAAAACATTTGCATCCAAATGCATTTCTTAATCCATTTGTCAGCTGAGTTAAAAAATAAAAAATAAAAGTTATAGGACACTTCACATGAAAGTAGCCAGTTAACTGTTGACTAAATTGAAGACGCGTCCCATTACATGCATTAAAAGGCCAAAATTAAATATGCACATATGCACTGCTTTGCATACCCAATGTACTGTGACCTCCTGACCTGATGAGATATTTCACCAGATCCTTTTGAAACACTACCACAAATCAACCTCTGGAGGCAGTAACATGCTCAAAACATTCGATTCCGCAAACATACACCCACAACACATCACATAGAAGCAATTACTCTATTATGCTATAATGCATAAATGTGTGTACACACACAGCATTTCTCACCCTGACATAACCCCCATGATCTCTTGGTTGACTCTCCTCTGGAGAAGTGTCTGGATTTAGCAATTTGTCCAAGTGTGTATAAGACAAGTGTGAGGAAGTCGTGTGTCTCTGTTTTGAAGTGTGTTTGAAGGTGAGCTAAACATAGAAACCTCAAAAACTAGTAAGAATCTGCTAGAAGAAATATATGTTCACTTGTGTGTTGGAAGTGTGGTGTGTACACTACTCACCAGGAAGTGTGAGGATCCAAACTCTGTGTTAGTGCGTGTCGTGTAAAGCTGTAACATAGATGTGGTTGTTGTTCTTGTGACTCACTCTTGTCTAACACTGCTCTGCCCCACAGAGTGTGCGTTCTGCTGCGGTAAGTGTGTTAGTGTGCTTCCTATCTTTCTCTACACTCGCTCAATTTTTGTCTTTTTTCTCTTTCCTTTTCCTCCTCCTCCCCCCAACCCCTTCCTGTCAATGCCTGTGTGTTTCTGTGCTCTCTCTAAATTAAAATGGCGATCACTATTTTTCTCTCTCTCTTTCGCTTCTCCTCTCCACTTTGCTTTTAATCTCTCCTTTAATCTTGTTTTTTTCTGTCTCCGTTTGAACCAATAATGCCTTGTGGTTTTCTATTTCCCTTTTCCTTTCATTGTCATTCATGTCCTCTTTTTTTCCTTTGTCTTTTTGTGGTTTTACTTTTTCTCTCTTTCTCCATTTATTTATTTTTTTGCTTCCTTTGTTTTGGTCTCTCCTTCTTCATGGATTTCCCATGGCACGTCTTTCATTTCTTACTCCATCGATTCCTTTCTTCTTTTTTTGATGATTTCTCAACCCTGTGATCTTTCTTGCCCATTCTGTCATATTGCACATTGAATTTGTCACCATTTTCATGTCATATCTCTGTGCCCCTTGATTTCCTACTCACCTTTTCCTTTCTTTCTTCCTTCCTTGTTCCAATTCCTCTTTACTTCCTTTATTTTCCCCCTCTCTCTTTTTTCCTCACACACTTTCTCTGCTGTGCTCTGTATGTATCGTCCCGTGGTCTCATGCGTGTGTCCTGTTCTGCGCACCGTCTGTCTGCTGTCCAACAGCGACGGAGACACAGGCCGCGAGGAAGTAACCTCAGTGTATGTACCATCTCTGGCTTTCTGCCTCTTCTCCATGCTCTTCTCCTTATTCCCTCTCTCTTATTTTGTCTGTTTTAGGAGTCTGCGTCTCTCTTTATGTCTTGATGTCACACTGAACTCTATTTCATGCCATCCTTCTTGTTATTCACTCACTTTTCCTGTTTTCCCTTTGTATATTCGGTTCGTCGCTGTACCTTTCTCTCTATATACCTTTTTCCTGTCCACTTATGCAGCCCTGTATCCCTATGTGTGTGTGTGTGTGCGCACGAGTGTGTGTGTCTGCCTGTGTCTTATCTCTGTATATCTGGTCCTGTGGACATGGGAAGCTTTTGCTGTCTCGTAGTTCTTGACGCATGGATTTCAAACAGGAAAACCTGCTGCCAATAACGGTCATGTTGTTAGCATGTTTCAGTCAGGCGCATGGCATAAAGCATTATGTGTGTGAGTGAAGAAGAGCGTGAAGGGATATTTCAGTTTTCAGATCATGTTTTGATGCAGAAGAGCGTTATGTGCCCAAGTATGTCTTTGTGTGTCTACACATGCTATAGATTGTCATGTTGACCATCATGTGTCCGGATGTGTGCATGGACAAATGTGCTGAACTTCTTTTGGCTGAATTGGGTTTTGTGTGCTCAGCTATGGCAGAGAAACGTGAGAATGTATTTAATGGTTCTGCTTGAATTAGAAAAGCTGCAGTGCATGTAAGGCATGACCTATCTATCTATCTATCTATCTATCTATCTATCTATCTATCTATCTATCTATCTGTCTGTCTCTCTGTCTCTCTGTCTGTCTTTATATCTGTGTTATCTATCTATCTATCTATCTATCTATCTATCTGTCTGTCTGTCTGTCTGTCTGTCTGTCTGTTGGTCTGCCTGTCTATCTCTCATTCTCTCTCTCTCTCTTGCTCTGTCTCTCTCAATCACAAATTATCCATCTCTCTATATATTACTATTTCTCTTTCTGTCTTCATTGAGCATGACAGATATACCTGTGCCTTGGTTTTCTCAGTGGGTGTGGAATGGGCTGAGTGTTAACCAGATTACATTCAAATGTTTTCAAACATGCACACATATGCACTCGTAACACTGCATATAATCAAGCTGCTCTGTGAAAACATATAAATGTAAACTTCTGTTCTTCCCACTCTTTTTCTACCTTCTACCTTCTTTTTTTCTACCTTGTATCTTTCTGTGTAGACCATCACAGACACAAGTCCAATGCGCCGTTCTACATCCTCACTGGTTCACGGACGTTCAGGACGAGGCGTGCGACTGGACGATTACTCTCTGGAACGGGTGGTGTCTGAAGAGGGTCACCGACATGGTCCACGAAGAAGAGAACGGGAGAGAGACCGCAGTCACCGCACCTCAGAGAGATCACTCGCTCGCTATACAGATGCAGACACAGGTCACACGTGAAAAAAATAATTAACTTTTTGTGGTAGTTTTTTTCCTGTACACATTCTTTGTTGCTCTAATTATGCAAAAGGGGTCATCGGATGCCTAATTTTGTTAAAAAATGTCCGACATTTATATTTAGTGATGCAAACTACTCAACTTTTTCTCAAATAAGGCCATTTTGAGAGAGAGAGAGAGAGAGATTAAATGTGCGTGTGTGAATCACCTGCATCTGTTCGTCTCTCCCTACAAACAATGAAGGTGTGAATTTAGTTACTTTAAAAACATGTCGTTGCTGAGAAATATAATGTAGCGATTCAGTATAGAAACAATTTTATAATAATAAAAGTTGCTGGGTAGTATTAACATGTTTGTGTGTGCACACCTCATTATATGACCTCTGTGTGCGAGTGTGTCAATAAAAGCAGCGCATAGGCTATATATATATATATGAAAGTTGGTCCTCCCCAATGTTCAAGACATGGTTACAGCCTTGGTCTAAAGTGCTATCTCATCTCATTTCTGTGTTGGCTTTAGCAGGTCTGGGCACGGATCTCAGCACCACTACACAATCAGGTGACCTCCCACCTAAAGAGAGAGAACGAGAACGGGGTCGAGCGAAAGACCGTCGCCACCACCACCACCACCATCATCATCATCACCACCACAGCTCGGTGGATAAGGAGCGGTACGGTCATGAGCACGATTACCACCGTCATCCTCACGACAGATCTGATCGCCACTGGTCCCGCTCACCGAGTGAGGGGAGAGGGCATAGACAGGTGGGACACACATTCACTGAAATACCACTTTTATTGTATGCACAAATTCAACATTATTTTTAGAAGTGACTCACAATAGTACATAAAGGGGTCATGTCAGATTAAATGTTTTTCGTTCGCTGATCTACACTTATAATTTTAATCAAGGTTTCTTGCTCTGTAAGAGTGTGATTTTACTTTAACCCAAACATTTCCCACCTTTCCTCTGGCTATTATTTGCTGCTTGAAAAAGCCTTTGTTATTATTATAGCTTCTGTTTCTAATTTATTCACATATAAAATAAGCAACAGCACTTAAGAGTTTCAGGTTTGCTGTCAGGTCCACTATAGTTTGCACTGCCCTGTTCTTCAATAACAATAACTTTGCACATTGCAATAAGTTCACAAATCAATCTGTGCTGAAATGTGCCACCAAAATGGTTAAATTTATATTAAAATTGATCTTTTACTGTTTCTTTATATTGAGATCCTTAAGATGACTAAGAAGATATATATGCAGCCAAACAACAGCACAAAATGTGTGTGCAGTCATGCTGATGCATTTTGAAATGAGGTGTTGCAGTTTATTTCTAGTAGATAGTCTTTTTTGGACTGGAGGAGGTTTTGTAATGAAAACTAGAGTATGTTTATATAATACATCAAACCATTTTTTTTTTTTTTAGGTCTGGTAAAAATAACATTAAAAGTTTGAGTGCTGACAGAGGCAGAAATGTCAACATTCAAACTATATAAAAGGTGGAGATTATTTATAATGGGTTTATGTGAATATTGTTTCAGGTTCACTTCAATTAAAGGTTATTATTACGTTTTTATGTTCTGTAAATGTTAATAAATAATTAATGTAAAAATAATAAATAAGAGCCATCAGTATCAATACTGATATCAGTGATATTAGTCTTTATTTACTTATTGAGAAGATGCCATTAAACAAATATTTAAAATATCAAGTATTTTAAATACTGTGGAATTAATTTTATTCAATTGGCATGACTATTATTTTTATTAAAATGTAAAGGAAAATAGCATATTTCATGAAGTAGTATCATTTTGAAGCATTCCTTTATTCACTTCATTCAGCACACCTATTTATGTGCGTAAGTCCATGGTTAAGATCTTTACAGTAACCTGCAATGAGGAGTCTGAGGGATGAAAGGTATCTTGAGCACACAGATGTGGGTCGACTGTAACCAGACAGCATATGCACACCTGTGACCTTATCATGACTGCTTACTGAAATCAGTTTCTCTTTTTTGTGTTATTCTTTTGTTTATCTTATTTTATCACTGTGGTTTCTGTCCATTTTTCTCGATGTGACTTGTGGCTTCTCTGTGTCTGCTGTTTTGCCTCATTACCGGTTTGTTTCTTTCTGGTTTTCTTGATGTTGTTGTTTCCACACACCTTTTTCTCTCTCTCTTTCTCTCTCTCTCTTTCTCTCACTTACTCTCCCTCGTCTCTCTCTCCTCTTCCTCCTCTACATTCTCCCTCTCTTGCCGGTGTGTGCTCCTTTCTTTTGTTTGACGTTAATTTTGTGGTGTTTTTTTATTTGCCTTGTTTTAATTTTCATGTAGGGCAGTAGTTCCGTGAGCGGAAGCCCAGTTCCCTCGACGTCGGGGACCAGCACCCCCCGACGTGGCCGTCGGCAGTTGCCCCAGACACCGTCTACACCACGCCCTCATGTCACCTACTCCCCTGCCGTCCGCAAGCCTCCGTACGGCTCCCCGGGCCAGGGTCGACTCCGTTCCCCTTCCCCGAGACACTTCTCTCCACCGGGTCACGAACCGCCCTACCATCATTCACCCTCCCGCCATGCCTCGCCCCATCACGGCTCACCCCAGCACGCCTCCCCACGCTCCCCCAGGCACGCATCTCCCAGGTCCCCACGTCACAGCCGCTGGGGCCCGTTGCCTGAGAGTCTGGAGGGCGACGGACCTATCTACGATCGGGACTATGAGTACGAGCGGCACCATGAGCCGCCTGCCTACGAGCAGAGTCTATCACAGGGCAACCCCCACCCTCATTCACACCCGCATCCCCGATCGCCAAGGACTGCTCGTCAAGGGCCTCCCCTGCACCCACGCCGTATGCCTAACGGCTACCGTTCCTCCTCGCCCTCCCCGCACCGGCGCGGCCCCCACCCAGGCCCACACCCGCCGCCCCATGGCCGTGGGCCCCGGAAGGGGTTGCACGAACAGTATAGCGAGACGGACGAGGATGATTGGTGTTAGTGCGCAGTGTGACCAGGAGGGGGCGCCACTCAACTTAAACCAAGATGTTTATGCACCGCAGCAGGGAGAGAGGGGGTGGAAGGGGAAACGCAAACAGGGCAAATGCGCCATTGTGAGACTCTGAGCCTTGGAGCAGCACATACAGCTCCCCTACTCCCTCTCTCTCTAAAGCTTTCTCCTGCTCTCTGGACTACGTTTCCCATGCTGCTCAGCACGCAAGGGAATGGGAGCATATGAGCGAGAAATGGGGTGGTTGCGTTTAGATGGACTGAACTTTAAAGATCAGCGTCATTGTGTTTGAATGCTCCACTCCAAACTAAGCAAGACCGATTGCTTCTTGCCCGATGGAAAAAATGAGAAGCAACATTCTCTGTCAATCAAAAACAAAGAAAAAAAATGAATTTTGAAAAAGAAGCCAGAACCCATTTTTCCCCCTCACATCTATGCCTCTTGAAAAGACCCAAAAAATAAAAAGGGAAGAAAAAACAGACATTGTTGAAGAAAATGCAAGTGCTCTTGGGAATGAGAGCTCTACCAACTGCAAAACCAGCCCCATGTGCTGGCCGATATCGATGAGTTTTATCATCTGCGTTTACTGTTACCAACTCAAGATGCTGAGTGACTTCATCACCTGGGGAGGGGTTAACCGTCAAAGAGGCGTGGCATATGAAAGGACCCAGTGCAGGCGAGAGGAGGTGGGTGGGCGTGGCACACCGAAACCCCACCCACAAACTGCCACTCGGTCCTGACAAGGAAAAGACCGTGGAAAAAGAATGAAACGGCAAATGAGGGAGGGACAGAAAGACTATTTCCTCTTCAGAATGTCTTCAATTGATTACTTCTTCTTTTTGAACATTTGGAGCTTGGTTATTTTGTTGCATTTGCTCAGCTTTCTTTGATATTTTTGGACTAAAATCTGATGGAAACTTGCATGATTGATTTAAAAAAATATATATATATAAATATATATAAATATATATATCAGACAGAAGATTTACTGTGGGAAGGGGGGTGATAGCTCTCTTTTTTCCATTCAGTTGGAAGTTCTTTCTCTCGTTTTCTCCCTGTTGCTCTTGCCATGTCTACAGATCTTTACGTGCAGATGGAATTTATAGATAGACGCTACAGCAGACCTTTCTAAATAGCGAGACAGATCTGAAGGTGTTTTCTGTTATATCCTTCTGAGGATCCCAGATGATGTTCTGCACTGTTTATTATTACTTTGGATTGCACTAAAAACGAGCCTGAATGGTGAAACCTCCCTCATTACGGCTCTGTCGGCCATGGCTGCGAACAGAGAGAGAAACGGGGTGAGAGACGTTCTCCTTTCTGAGGGCTTCATTTGCTATTGTCAATAACAATAGTCTTATAATGATGAAAACTATCTTAATGCAATTGATGAAGATGACGGTGATGCTGATGAAGATAGAGGTGGTCATGTGACTTTGTTGTCTTGTTTTCGAGGGTTTTGTCTGTTGTGGCCATCTTGTTT